TTCAATATTTATATTGGATCACATTAAGCTGTTGAAAATGTTAATGTTTAACCCTAACTAATTTTTTTTTTACTACAATTTCCCATACCTTAAAGTTACCTTTCCTTGCCTTTCAAGTTTTGGGTCGCAGCAGTCAATAATAATAATAATAATAGTAGTAATACTAAAAAAAAAAAAAAAAAAAAAAAACATGAACATTTTCCCTATAATGCCACCATTGCTCAGAGTGATAAGGCCTTTGTTAGCAGAGCTAATTTACCATGCTAATTCCACACCCCTCCTGAGTACAGTGAGAAAATTAGCAAAGCAAATTTACAGTTCAGATACTCAGCCCCATCAGTGCATAAAGCTGCTCTGGACTTGTTCAGTTTTCAAATATATTATGACTTGGGACAGGAATATTGTTATGCTGTAGTAGTCTGATAAATGCAGCTGCAAATTGAATTGAATCGGTCAAACTCAATGAATCACACAATACTGGAATCTGATTGGCTGAAAGCAGCATTTCACCAGATGTTCAGTCAATAGGGTAAACCAGTTTAACTGCTGCAAACTGGCCTGACAATATCATTGTGTGTGTCCCTGCGACTACCATGAACTCAGCCACCAGCCTTGAGTAGATTGTCCATGTAAACCTATTACACATTCTGTGCTGAAGGCTGATGATAGGACCTTTAGTTTAGCATATATGTATATATATATATATATATATATATACATATATGTATATTCTGGCCACTAGCAGAACTGTTACTGATATTAATGACATCTTTCCATCATCATTTTCCATCTTTATTGCAGATAGATTACTGTACAGGCCTCACTGAGCACAGGTCAAGCTGCCCCCTTGACCTTCACCTTTAAAAATCACACTCAAAGAGACAATGTACCGACACCTGAAAGAGACTCAAACTGACTACAGAGAGTTACAGAACAGCTGCAAAGAGACACAAAATGACTACAAAGAGATGCAAAGCAACCACAAATATTAAGAATTACTACAAAAAAAAAAAGATGTTAATAATACAATGACACTCAAAAAGACTACAAACAGACACAAAGCAACTACAGAGAGACCCAAAACCACAGAGGTGTGAAACAACTACGAAAAGACATTATAAAATCATAAAGTCTGTGGGCTCTAGTTTCCCGGCACAGCGCAGGGTGGCACAGGGTGGCAAACCCCGCACAGAGCTAGTTTCGGGCAGCGCAACCCGAGGCACGCTCAGTTTGGTAGTTTGGCAGACCGAGGTGCGCTGAGATGGGTGTGGCGGTGCAGCAGGGGGAGGTGTCGACAGATGCAGCTTGGCGCAGTGACAGTTTCGTGCCAAAACGCTTCGCCGAAGGTGCGCTAAAAGCTCGCCAACTGAAACCACGTGTACTGTCAGCGCAGGCGGAGCGCAGCTGGTGTAAGCCGAAGTTTGGCTGACCGGCGGACAGTGCGCACATGTCACCAAAACCTAACAGGCAGGTTTCCAGAATATCAGGCACATTAACAATGCAAAAAATAGCCACAAAATCACTATTCAATCCAACTATCTCCAATCAGCACATAAATGTATCTCTATATCGACTGTCCCGTCACATCTGATGTCAGATCAAAGGGGATTGGCACTGTTTGGCAAGTTTGGCACGGGTAATGGAAACCCAACCTGATTTGATTAACACAGCTGCAAACTAATGAGTTCACATCCCTCTCAGCCAACCACAAACAGCCACAGCATCAGATAGGGAGTATATATTCAGCATCTGTCATCTTAGAAAAGTCAAAAGAAAAGAAACAGAGTGAGACTGCGAGAGAGAAAGAGAGAGCGCACGAGCACACGAGAGAAACGCAACATTGATTTACAATTGTGGTGACCTCCTCCCAGGCTACCTTTGCATCATCAGCCCGTGGAGGTCTGCTCGCAGTTCCGTATATTCGGACACTGCGAGCAGACCTCCCGGACCAAAACATCAGTTTCCTCCTGGGAGAAGTTTGGCCGTCTGACGCTGCTGCTCTCTTCTGCCATGGCGAATTGAGTAAACTCTCATTACACCTTCGAGCGGCACATTTAAGGGCGAGGAGAGGGGCTCATTTGATTGGTGTGATGTGTGTAAAACCCACTCCACGCCTTCTCTCCTCCCTCTTTCCAACTTGCGCAGGTAGGAGGGACGGAGGTGGGACAGACGAGTAGCTGCGCCAGCGCGCACGGTGTGCCAAACTTGCAAAATCCGCCTGGCCACACCGTGTTGGCGAAGCGCAGGTGCGCTGCGTCCCCGCCTCGCCCGGTCTGCGAAACTAACCCTGTGTCTTTCTCCTGTGTAGGAGAGGTGGTGGGTCCCTCTGCATGTCTGTGCCAAGGGGCTCATTGTCTCATAATCTGTCCATTATTCTTATTAGTTGATTTAAAAAAGTTGCCTACCATCCAGCGAGTTTCACTTTTCTCAGTGTAGTTCCTGGCACAGATTTTACAAGCAGTGCTGTGACTGAAGTGCCATCGTTATTCCAGTATGATGATCATGGACCAGGGCTGGATTTAACAAACTGATTTATGTTTGGGCTGGAGAAACCAAAACAATGAGCTAGAAGAGCCTAAAATCTTGATAAATAAATTGTGATAATAATAAGATTAATGTTTTGCATTCAGAAAACCATAACTTCTACAGTCCCGGCTTTCTTATGAGTCAACTGGGACTGCCACTCACCATGATGGACCACACCCTTCAGGCCGTGGATTATAGGGTCGACAGCAGGATTGTCCTTCCCTCCCACCTGAGGAACACAAAGAGATACAGCGATCATCACATGGCATTATTTTTCATATAAAACATCACAGCACACATTCAAGGTTAGGGACATAAAATTGTTTTGTGTATTTATGTAATGCTAATGTGTGAATGTATGTGGGTGCACACACTGCTTATATAATCTGTAATATGTAAATCCCACATGATACATTCTTGTTGATTTTTTGTTGTTAAAATGAATCATTTCATTTCATGGTAAGGTTAATAACTGTATCATTTAACTTTATTTATTTTTTATCTTTGTGTTTGTTATATTTCATCCTCTGCTGCTGCAGTGATTCAATTCCCTGCAGGCATGAAGTGTCCATTAATCTAAGCTTACATGATGCACACGTATACAAGTGTCTGCAAATATGACCGTTTAACTGAAATGACACATGAAAGGATAAATACTTGTGGTTAAAAAAGCTTGTTTGGTGACTCATGGTTAGTTATAACAATGCCATACATTTGTGCTAAATCAGGGGATAGAAAAGGGCAATAAAAGTCACAAAGGTGGAAAAAGTCAAAAAGCTCAAAGAAAAGGGCGGTAAAACACGTTCAGTTTAATAATAAGGACCAAGCAGCAGCAATCAGCAAGCTCTTGAAGGCACTCTTAATCTGAACTCAAAGAGTGTGTTATGTCATAGTGACACATGCGTTTTCATTGCCTTCATTGTTGTCATGGAGCCAGGAAATCATTAAAGCATAAAAAAAACACACAAGTGCCTTCAAAAATGCCACATATGACCACTCAAAAATGATTCATATGAGATGCATATGGTTAAAGGCGCAGTCAGAGCATATCTATGATTCAGAGTCTGTGGCAGGATAGACTGCACACAGCTCTCAACTAGCCGCACCGGTAGCTGAAGCTATTGGTGCTAACTCACTAAAGGTTAACAACGGAAACAGTGCAGACAGGGCTAACGTTGTTCCTTGGGGGGAAACTGGAGGGTGGGTGCTACAATTCTGTGACAACGCTGTCCCCATATCAGCAGTAAGTGTCTGGCGTCAGCTAGCCAGTGGGACAGGGACTCACATGCGCTAAAATGCAAGCCTGGATGACACAGCTCAACAGAAAAGCTCACATTACAACACACATAGAGGGAGCATGGCTTCATTCTCTGCTAAGGACACCAGTACTCTACTATATCTTTACACAGAAAAAAGTGGTTTGCTGCTTTATTAATGCTCTGAATGTCTCATACAAATTCCTTTAAGTGTCTGCTAAAATGCACAGAAAAGCAACCTGTTTTGTTGAATAGGTATGAGCATGTGTCACTCTGATTCAAGTCTCACTGACTTGTTCTGTAGAAAAAAATGTTTTAGACTACAAAAAGTGGATTTGTTTCACGGACACACATGTACATATGAGAAAATGTTGTGTTTAAATGCATGTACATTTGGTATGGTTAGGTAATGGGCACAAAAACCACTTGGTTATGGTTAGGAAACACTCATATTTTTGCCTAAAACATTCACATTTTGAGGCTAGGAAAGCGAGGACGGGTCAGTGAAAACAAACACCAAGGTTTAGTGGCTCAAACAGCACTGAGAAATGCCAAGCTGTACCGCATAAAACACTCAGGCCTTGTAAAAACACCCAAGTTTGGTGCCACAAACAGAAATGTTACAAGGGGTTACCAAATAATAACCCGCTATTGTTTGTTGGTCTCGAACACTGCAGCTTGGCAGCTGACTCCCCTGGGTGTCTTGCAAGCTGCTGTTCTCACACACTGTTTGTTTTCCTACGAAAATTGATGCACCAGAATTCCTACATATCCTATTTAATCATGAGCCAGTAATTTGTGTGTAACCCATGTATTTGAGATTTGCAATGATGTGACCAATACGCTGATGGGAGTAAAAAGAAAGGGAAGCAGTCCATAAAGGTGGCAAGTTGGGTTGGTGGATGGGACACCAAAAAATTGGACTTTCCCTAAGAGACCAGTGTTCTCAACCGTGTAAACTTTGACTAAACTTTGACTGAATTTTGAGTCATATTTAAGGTACGTCCTCACCATTTCTCTTTTTCTAAACCGAACTTCATGTTAAGTACGTGACACCATTTGTGTGGCACTAATTTGTAGAACATCACATGAACCACTATGTGAGGATGAGGTAGTGTTACGTGGTCCACCACCTCTTCACCACCTGATGACAAAATCAGCTCATATACTACGGCACTTTAGAAATGTTGATATGATATGTATGAAACATACAAATATAATATTTCTGTGGTTTGCAGAAATGAATGCAATAGAGTCCTAAATATCTGGATGTCCCACAATTTCCTCCAGCTTAACAGTGACAAAATAGAAATCCTTGTAATTGGCGCTCAGCCTCTGCAGCAGAAAATATGTTCTTCTAAGAGGACTGTGGGCACACAGCTAATCCAAAATGCTGCTTCCAGAATCCTTACTAGAAAGAAACAAACTGGATCACATCACACCTGTTCTCAGATCTGTATATTGGCTCCTCATTAGTTCCAGAATTGATTATGCATTTTTACTCCTTGTCTATAAAACCCAAGCAGCCTTGCTTGCCTTTACTTCTCTGACCTACTTTTCATTATGAACCAATGAATCAGGACTCTTAGGTCCACTGGCCCAGGCCTTCTGCTTGTTCTGAAGGGTCAAAGTGTATCAGATTGTTCTAGTTGTTTGTTTATGCACAAGTTTGTTTTGCATGTGTCTAGGTATATGTTGTAGGATACAAACACATGTTTTTATGTGATGCACAATGAATCTCCCCTGGAATGAAATGCACCATATAAAACTAGAATTACAGCCTCACACTTGTATACCTCTGTGAACCAGTCAAGTTGCAGTTACCCAGAGTCATATGTAACCAATACTTTGAACCAATACTTGAATAGGCTCTGCTCCTTAGGTGCTGAATGGCAGCAGAGCAAACAGCCATCGGCTGCCTGTCTTTACAGCCGATGCCCACAGGATTTCACTCAGAGCCGGACTGTCTCAAGAAGGTTTTTGGTTGACTGCTTTTTCTTTGATTAAGTTATTTTTCTGCTTCTTAACAGTGAGATGGATAAGTCACAGTTTACAATAAACCTAGGTACACATCCTAGTCGTCTCAGATTACTTATTTGTGGTGTCATTGTTTTTGGGAGCATAAATAGAGAGATGTTGAGCTTTTCAAATGATGATCAGCAAGTGTGTGCTTGTAAATCAGCCCTTAAATCTGTCAAAAACTGCTGGAGAAATGACAGTTTGTAAGTGTGTATAAATTATTTGTAGTTGTAGAAAAAATGAATAAATGAAGTTTTTTTACAACCTGTCACCTTGATTCTAATTTCTGATACATGAATTAACGTCACAAGATTAGTTTAAAAATAAAAAAAACAAACAAAAAACAAAACAAAAACAAACATAAAACTAACTAAAATGTTTGGCTTTTTGTTGACTAAATCATTTTGAATTTTGGTCGACAAAAACTCAACCAAAACTATCAAGGATAAAAATGATTAAAATATGACTAAAACTAATTGGCATTTTTGTCTCAAGACTAAGACTAAATCTACAATAGCTGTCAAAATTAACATCGGGTCACAGTGACCTCGACCCTTGACCTTTGACCACCAATTTTTATCAGTTCCTCCTTGAGTCCACATGGACATTTATGCCAAATTTGAAGACATTCCCTCAGAAGCTGCATACACCTATGACCACAATTACACCAAAAAACCTTATTATCACCATAATAAAATATTGTTGTACACACTTTAAATGACAAACATACTTCATCAAAATGCAGCATATCTTACACCAGTTACAAAATGTCCAGAGCACTCCATGTTTCTCGTTAGTCATCGATGTAGAGGTGTTATGTCTTAAACAGTGAGAAACAGCTTGGTTGTGTATAATCCAAACTAACCCAAACTACTGCAAAGCCACTGCCAGCATCCATATCCAACATGTTGCATGAACAAATGAGAGACTGCCAAGATTGCTGTCACATCTCCCTTCCTTCCCTAGACTCTTCTCAACCGCTCCTCTCCTGGATTTCAAAGCACAAACTTGTTGGCTACCTGGATTTAATTGATTGTGGAAGCAGCTACATCCTCTCCCAAATTCTAACTGTCCACGCTGCTCATCTCCAACTTCTGTTTGGCCGTTTGCCCAGGAGAACTGCACTGCTTCTTTTACTGGGTAACGGCTCTTCTTGGACAAGAGCAACATATGTTAACCTAATGTATTATCTCTTTCACAGCAGCTTTAATTTAATCTCCTGTTGGTGGCTTTTTGAAGGTGCTGCCCATTTACTCGTGGTGACTTTGCAGTTCATACATGAGGATATCAGCCTCTTCTTGGGCGGAGGTTTTGTAAGCCTGCTCCAGATTATTCTTGACATCACCAAGAAGTGTGTTGTGGCTGCTTTTAAATGTAGTACTGGCCTGATTATACTAAACAAAAGCACAGGGCTGGACTCAGCACATTCAGCACCCTATGCAAGAGTCAAGCCAATGTTCGATTTTTTGAATGTTAAAACGAGCACTTGCTAAAAGTAAAATGATCACAGTGGTTTTGGCTATGTGCAATCGTCCTGCATGGTAGATTCCTCCAGACCCACACAAGCTGGAGGCTCTGGATGCAAAACAGATGAGTCTCCATTTGTAAGAAATGGCGCTGTACACACAGGTATAAATGGTAAATGCCTTGTTCTAACATTTAATCTGTATCTGGATACCTTACCCGAATGATCTGATAACTGGCCTTTGTCATTTGCACATAAACCAATAAGGGTTTTTGTTATCTTAAATCTGCCAACAATGTGATTGAATGCAAAAGTGTAAATTAGGTCATCAGAACTGGCAGGCTTGTAAACAAACATGATGTACCCCTAGTCAAAGGAAGTGATGGGAGATACTCTCATGAGAGAGCAACAAAGTGTGAGGGGAGAAACAGCAACAGGCATCCAGTAACTTTCTGAATCATTTGAACGTTATGTGATAAGTTGTCAGAT